CAAAAAAGAGTCGATACTTTTGAGTTTTGGTGCTGGTGAAGAATGCTGAAAGTACCATGGACTGTTAAAAGAACTAACAGATCTGTCCTGGAGGAAGTGCACCCGAAATTCTCCTTGGAATCGAGAATGGCCAGACTTTGTCTCACCTATTTTGGTCATGTTGTCAGAAGGGACCATTCCCTGGAGAAGGATGTCATTCTTGGTAAGGTGTAGGGTTGATGAAAGAGGGGGAGGCCTTCAACAAGATGGATTGACATGGTGGCTGCGATGATGGGCTCAAGTATAGCAGGGATCGTGGAGCTGGCGTGGGATTGGGCAGTGTTTCGTTCTGCTGTGCATGGGGTTGCTATGAGTAGAAAATGACTCGATGGCACCTAACAACAACAACAACAACTAACCATAAGATTGGAAGTTCAAATCTACCCAGCAGTGCCATGGAAGAAAGGATTTCTGTAAGTTTCCAGCTACCAGTGGAACACAGTTCTATTCTGAAACACATAGGGTTTCCAGGAGTTAGAATCACCTTTTTTTTTTTTTTTTATGATGGATAAGTTACATTTTTAGTCATTTATCCAGGTTCTGAGTGAGAAGTGTCTGTGACCATTAACCTTCACATCCTCAGTGGAATTTTGTGGATGATATTGTTTACCTATGAATGTGTGAGTATTACCATCACTTGTCTGTCAGTTTGTCATACTGTGGTGGCTTGAATGTTGGTCTGGATATAGGAGCTCTGGTGGCATAGTGGGTAAGGCATCTGGTTGTTAACCAGAAGGTCGGTGGTTTAAGCCCACAAGCTGCTCCATAGAAAGAAGACAAGGCAATCTACTTTTGTAAAGATTTACAACTTTGGAAACCCTATCGGGGTCACTATGAGTTGGAATCTCATAGTGATTGATGGCAGTGAGTTTGGTTTGTGTGGGTATAGCCTGAAAGATCAATGGACCTTCAAATTATAGGTACAACCTTCCCAGGAGGGCTTAAAAACCTTCAGGCAGAGGGAACAGAAATTGAGGGTGTTTGTCAGTTATGTCTTGTTTTTTTTTTTATATGCTCTCCCACCCCTGAAATGTAGTCTATGCATGAGGGAACAAAGAATGAGGAAGGAAACAAACAAACAAACAAAAAAAACTTTCAGGGGAGAAGGAAATAGTACAGAAGAGACTCGACTCATCTATACACCCTTCTGCATTCATTAATCAAACATTTAATGAACATCTACATTGTACCAGGATCTTTAAAGGCACAGAGGTATGAAACAATATGTATTATACTAGTTAGATTTTGCTATGTAACAAACCACCCCAAAACTTAAACAACAACCATTATTTAGCTCATTCTTCTGTGGGCTGACTGGCAGTTCTTCCTTCAGGATTGGTTTGATATGTCTCTTCTTGGCTTAGTCATGCATTTGTAGATGACTAATTTAATTTTCTCCTTCTCCACCTTCAAAGAATGCAACATGGAGGTGTCCATAGGAATTGATATCTCAACTTCCAAAAGGCGAGTTCAGCAGACTCTTCAAGACTTACTGCCAGAACTAATGCAACAGTTGGCCTTCCTTTCCAACATCAGCTGTAGTGTTCCTGGTCAGGTCCACACGAGATTCCGTTACTTGGTTTCTGGCCCATATGGGCAGATTATCTTTGACTCACACTTTGAGAATTCCAGTGACAAGATCACCCAGGTGTTCTTGGCTGCCAAGAACAATCGTATGGATGTGGATTTTTTGCATTCCTTGGGAGAAGTTACTGTCCTGACTTCTGCTAACGTGAAGGTAATAAATGATGAGAGCCCATACTAAGAAGTCATCACGCAGGGTAGGAAGGATAAGGCTTTTGTGGCTGAGGGACAACAAAACTGTTCTTTACTGGAAATCCTACATCAAGGAAAACCATAATCTTATCTAATAAGAACCAACAAGAGGTATGTTTTCACTCAGTCAACAGCTACTGATTAAGCCCTAGAAGCTCTGTGGTGATTGATGCCAAAAGGGAGAAGAGGATAAAATCCCTGACCTCACGTTGTCCACAGTTTAGTGATCCAGATTCTCCCATGGCATAAATTCACCCCAAAGACAACTTAGGAGATGTCTGAAAACTTCTTAGCTCCTATAGGCACTCACTGTCCTCTAGAGTAAGGCTCCTGACAGCTAATGACTCAGTGTATCCCATCTCTCAAGCCCTTCTTCCTTCCCTCCTGCCCCTTAAGTTTATACCCCAAAATATGAAAGAGATGAAAAAGCTGCATGTGACATTTGTTAGGAAATGATACCCTCAAACTTTACAAGTTGTATTTAGTTTTTCCTTCAATCATTCACCCAATGAACTTTATTTCTTGACTAATATAATTCACTGTTTTTAAAAAATACATTTTATTCAAATATAATTTATGTACAGTGAAATTCACAAAACTAAAGTGACATGGGTCAATGCATTTTTTTTTTCAGTGTTCCCCCCCTCCCCTCCTACCTCTGGTAACCAACAAAGAAAGTTTCCTTCCATAGACTAATATAATTCACTGTTTGAATTAAAGTTTTCTGTGAGTAAAAGTAACACATTTTAATTATAGACAAAACATTAAAAACATATAACAGAAAATAACAATAACTTCCCCGCACATCTCTCTCTCTACACATACACACTCACATACATGTATATGCACAGACATACACTCTCAATCTTTCAATAACCCCTGTCAACATTTTGATGCTTTTGCTTTGATAAAGATGGGCATTGTAAGACAATTTCTGGAAGATGAACAGGTTAAGCTGGTTCAAATCCTTTTTTTTTTTTTTTTTCCTTGAGGGAGAGACGCAAAAGTGAATGGTTAACAACATAACATATATATGAGTACATGACAAGGAACAGGGTGGAAGACTAGATACAACCAGAGAGGTCCACCTTTGCATTTTTAAGAAATGTACAACTTATAGCATCCTTCTCTGTTATTTCTCACCTCACTCCCCACCCCACCCCCCAAAAAAAACAGGTCCTTTTAGTGTTTACAGATGGACTGGATGATGATTTAGAGAGACTTAAGGAAAAATCCAGGCTCCTCCGCACTGCAGGTAAGTGTACTGTTTTGCCCCGTGAGGGCTGTTCCTCTCATTGGAGCTGAAATACACTTTCAGATTTCCAGATGGCACTGGGCTCCATTAAGTGTCCTGTATGCTGACTCAGATGGTTGGAGCTCAGTGCCTAGGAGGCTGATGCCCAGTTTCCCTCTTTGTATGAGTCAAGGGGTATTCAGGGCTGAGAGATACCTCACCTATCCCTGACATGACCAGGGTCTCTCTGACACAAGACTTTCCAGTTACCAGCCAGGCATCTGCACTGTCAAAGCACTTTCATGGGAAGTAGTGCTGCTTGTTTGTTAAGGCTGCCTAGGAGCTCTGGTGGCATAGTGCCTAAGGCATTTGACTGCTAACCAGAAGGCTGGAGGTTCAAACCCACGCAGCCACTCTGCATAAAGAAGATGGGGCAATCTACTTCCTTAAAGATTTACCACCTCAGAAACCCAATGGGAGTAACTATGAGTCCGAATCAATTAGCTGGCAGTGAGTTTGGTTTTTGAGAAGTCCCTGGGGGGTGCAAATGGTTAACACTGTATTGTATATTGCCCCTTATTGTATATTGCCTTTCCCTTTACCTAAGTCAGAACAGTTCTTAAAGCATGCATGCCATGAGCTGTTTTTGATTTTAATAAAAATGCAGTTTTGAGACAAAACAAGTAAAGGGTATGAAATGATGGGATGGTTGATAACTACCTGGGGCTAAGACAAAGACAGAGCATTCAAATGACACATAAGAAAATCACCCATCTGTTGATATTTCCAAGGGCTCTCTGGACTCCTAATCGTTGCCTTGGAAGGTGTCCAGAAATTAGAAGAGCTCCAGGAGCTGGAATTTGGCAGAGGATTTGGATATAAGCAACCTCTGAGCATCACACTGCGATCCCTCCCAAAGCTCTTACTGAAGCAACTTGTAAGTGTATTTTTGAACACTGTTTTTCACGAGGTCTTATTAATTATAATAAATGTTGAAACCTAGAAAGCCTTCTTTCTCTTTCATGTATAATACAATGTAGGCTAACACAGATGAAAAAGATCACGTGTGATATGGATTCTGTTTTTCAGGACACAATTGTAGAAAGAACATGCTGCAGTATGTACAGGCAATGTTTTGGAGAAGAAGGAGACAAAGGAGATGGTGGGAGTCCTGGGAGCAAGGTGGGAATTTGTTGGGCGGGAATGTGGAGAGGGAGAGAGGTGACACTTTGGTACCTACTTGATACCAGGCCCTGTGTGATGTGTTTAACAATCTTTTTCTAATTTTAAAGGAGCCCTTGTGGTGCAGTAGTTAAGTGCTCAGCTGCTAACCAAAAAGTTGGTGGTTCAATCCCATCAGTCGCTCTGTGGGAGAAAGAGGCAGTCAGCTTCCATAAAGATTACAACATTGGAAAGCCTATGGGGCAGCTCTACTCTGTCTCACATTGTCGCTATGAATTGGAATAGACTTGATGGCAATGGGTTTTGAGTTCTTTTCCCCCTAATTTTACCTTCCTAAATAAACCTTTGAAGTAGATGTTATTTTACAGGGGTGCAGTTGAGGTTCAGAGGGGGAAATGTCATTTTCCCTAAATTGCAGTTATGAAGGGGCAAATTGGAATTTAAGCCCCTAGGTCTACTTGACTCCAAGTCTCTCATTCTTTCCTCTGATATTATGCTGCCTACTCATATTTGACAAATACTTTTCCCAATTCTGTCATGACACACAAATTTTCCCTTGACTACAGAATTTTCACTTGTCTCACATTTGCTATCATTACAGTAGTAAATACTTCTTCCCTTCTCACCTAACACTCTTTCCCAAGTGACATTAGTTACACTAGACTCCCTGTCCGCCATCCCCATGTTGTTCTTTAATATCAGATTGGTGAATTAGAAAATTAAACTTGGAAACCATTTGATATAATTTCTTTGCAATTCAGGGACAGTGCCTCAAAGAGGCACTTTCCCATTTTTTGCTTCTCTTCTCTTTCAGCTGTTGGAATCCAGTGGTGAGTTGTACTGCTTGTGTTGACTTTCACAGCTTTGTTGATCACAAATAGAATATGGCACCCAAGTCTTAGTGTTTAGACTGAAAAAAAAAAATTTCTCTATAAAATGGCAAGCCAGACTTCCTTTAGAAGAAATGAGTTTTTCTGTTTAGGATGTTAGAGAAAGTGAAGGGGAAAAAAAAAAAAAAAAACTAAATAGCTGAGTTATACAGAAATAAGCATCCATTTCTCACAAGTGATATGGCTGGTAACCTCATTGCTTACTGATGTTCTTTACAACAAGGTAAAAAATCTTCTTCAAGAGTAAGAAGTTTTCTTTGAATTTTTAGCTGGAAACCAATCTTAGTTTGAATTTTCAAAATAGCGTGATTTATAATAGTTCCCTCCTGCAATTATTATTTAGGAAACACTGAGTTTTTGTTATAGATATAGAAACTTTGGCAAAGGATATTGGTGATGCTTTCACAACATGATCAGTGTAATTGATCTCACTGAATTGTAGATGTGAAAAATGTTGAATTGGCAAATGTGTTATCTATAGTTTAAAACAATAAAAAAATTGAATTATACTGCTGTTTGTGGAATAAAGAAGGTGACGAGCTAAAAAAATGATTTACGAAGATATTTTGGGAAAAAATGAATAGGTTGACTATGAAGCCCAAGAAGTCTGCAAGTTTCCATTTTAACAAGGCCAAGAATATTTCTGCAGCCTGAACACCTAGCATTGTGCTGGGAGGTCTATTAAAACACCTAGTAGACTCTCAATACAATGTCAGTTCAGGAGGCAAAGGGTATCTATTGTTGACAATATTTGCTTCACATCAAATTGAGAAATGAAGAATTTAGAGTCTAGCTTATTTATTTCAATTTCTCTTTTTCCTAGGGAGAAAGGGGTCCTGATGGATTACCGGGCCATCCTGGTGAAGAAGGTGTACCTGTAAGTAGTGAATCTTAATTTTTTTCTTTGAAGGACTATGGTAAAGGGTCAAATATTGGCAAACCTTACTTGCACTTAAGTCATGAAAGTTTTTCTCATCTTTACAATCTAAAATGGGTTTAAAACATCTATATTAAATAATCATTTATTAAAACAAATATCAGGTGGATTTTTTTTTAAAGATACAGCCTCTAAAATGTGTTTATGATGAAGTATGGTCGTTTTGATTTTTAATCAGTGAGTTGAGATAACTAAAAATGTAATCTTTGTGTAATGTGTGTGAAGATTAGCTATTAATTGTGAGCTAAGTTGCAAAATAACTTGTTACTATTAATAATGTAAGTTACTGCGTGGTGCAAATAGTTTGCACTTGGCTGCTACCCCGAAAGTTGGCAATTTGAACCACCCAGCAGCACCATGGAAGAAAGGCCTGGGGACCTGCTTTGTAAAAATTACAGCCAAGAAAAACTTTCAAAGCTCAGTTCTACTCTGTAACACGTGGGTTCACCATGAGTCAAAATGGATTCAATAGCAGTGGGCTTTATTTATAAAGTACTCGTGTTTCTAAGTGGCTTAACAAAATGAATCGAAGAAGATCCAAGTTCATTCTTACAACTGGATTACTGAGATGGCTTCCTGAGTACCAAGAAGATAATGGTGTTGTAGATACCCACCAGTGGTTTGCATAAAATCCATTGGAATGTGCTGGACAAGGAAAAGTTATCTATCATGTGATTAACTATGGGAAAAAAATGTATATATATACAAGGAATTAGAGCTATGGGACTAGAGCATAGTAGGGCCCATCTTTATCATATAATATAAATATCAGAAGGATGTGAAAACCCCAAAGTATGTTTTCAGTTAATTTTGAATTATGGTAAACTCCTTTGCCACAGGTGTCTATTTTAAAGTTGATTTGTATATACTACTAGGTCTCAAACTTTGTGGACTAAAGATACCTTTACATTCTTTAAAGATTATTGAAGACTTCAATGAACTTTTGTTTATGGGGATCATAATTATTAATATTTACCATATGAGTAATTGAAACTGAGAAAAATTTACCTATTATTTTATTTAAAAATAACAAAATAGACGCCTTATACATTACCATAAATGACATATTTTTAAGTCAAAAATAGCTATATTTTCCAAAGGGGGAAAAAATAGTGAGAAGAGTGGCATTGCTTTCATATTTTCACGTTTCTCGGATGTTTAGCTTAGTAGGAGACAGCTGGAACCTTAGATCTGCTTTTGTGTGCACTCTGTTGTGACATCATACACTATGTGGCCTCTGGAAAACTTTCCTGAACAACTAACTGTGAGAGAGCAAGAGTGAAAAAAGAAAGTAACACTTAAGTGTTATTGGAAAAATAGTTTTAATCCTGTGAATCCCATCATAAGTTGGATCAAACTTTGAGAAATGCTGATATATAAGCATTAATATTCTTATTGCTTTACTTGGAGTAGCATATTGTTTTATTATTCTGAACATCTAGGTTGTCTAAATTTGGAAAATAAGTCCTAATTAGAGAAAAATAAAACTGTTGAAATCCACGTTAGCTGGTCCATTTCTTTTATTATGTTTATGCTCCTTTTCTCTTTATTTTGCCTCAATAACCATAGCCCAAGGAACTCTGGTGGCATAGTGGATAAGGTATTTGTCCGTTAATTAGAAATCAGTGGTTCAAACCCAGCAGCCACTCTGTGGAAGGAAGATGGCACAATCTACTTCAGTAAAGATTCACAGCCTCGGAAACCCAATGGGGGTTGCTATGAGTCAGAAGCGACTCAATGGCAGTGAGGTTTTTTTTTTTGGTTTAAGCATAGCCTTGTTGTTGTTGTTAGCTGCTGTCCAGTGGCCTCCTGTATGGCAATTCCATGCCCAACAAGATCAGACCATTATGATCCAGAAGGTTTTCAGAAGTAGATTGCCAGACTTTTCTTCCTAGTCTGCTTGGTCTGGAAGTTCTCCTGAATCCTGTTCAGCGTCAGAGCAACACATAAGCCTCCACTGACAGATGATTGGTGGCTGCACATGAAGGACATTGGCTGGGAATTGAACACAAGTCTCCCCCCTGGTGTGGGAGAATTCTTTCACTGAAGCACAACTGCACTCAAACATAGCCTTAGATGTTATAAATAAATTCAGGAATGTGAATTATGTATTTTCACCATTTTGTTTAGGACTAGTGAAAAAGTTTCTTCCTATTTTTGTGATATTTTTTAAATGTCTCTTAAGTGTCATTTCCCTCTTCTCTGTTTGATATAGGATGGCCAGAGGTTCAGTGAGCCTGGCCAAATTTAAGAGAATAACTTAAGGCCCATCCAATCCATTAGGATCCTTGACTCTAATTTCAGACAGACAGGATAAATAAGGATAAAAACTCAAGCCTATTTGCTTTTTTCTGAGGGATAATTTTGGGAAAATATTATCTATTTAAGTATGTACATATACATACTACTGAAACTTCAGAAGTCACAAGAGTGGTTTTTTTTTTTTTTTTTTAAGTTTGTTAAAAATTAAATCATAAGAATTTCTCCTTAGTGTCCATGCTTAATTGGGAGCATCTGTTTTGAAATACTAACTCTTCTAATAAACAAAACAGCAATTACTCAGGATTGGTAACACTGTATATAATGCAAGATAGTACAGTATCTATATTTTTTTAGGATTAAATTCTGTAGAGGAAGATTGTATTCATTTCCTAAGCTGTGTAACAAACTACACAAAGTAGGTAAGTGGGTGCCATTAAACAACAGAAATTTAATGTCTCTTAGTTCTGGAGGCTGAGAGTCTGAAATGATGGCATCTACTAATTTATTCTGAGGCTTCCAAGGAAAATCTATTCCATGGCTTCCTCCTAACTTCTGGTGGCTACAGGTATTCCTTGGCTTGCAGCTGCAATCAAGTGGTGCCCTTCCTCCATCTCTCTGTGTCTGTTCTCTTTTGTAAGAACAGCATTCAGATGGAATTAAGAGCCACCCTACTCTGGTATAACGTCATGTTAACTGATAACATCAAAGACCCTATTTTGTAACAAGCTCTTGTTCACAGGTTCGAGGCATTAGGACTTTAACATATCTTCTATTGAATTGGGGACACAATTCAATCCATACAAAGCGTAAACACCAAACATTGAACCTAAAAACACATATTGATCATGAAGAACGGGAAAAACATGTAACCTAAAAACACATATTGATCATGAAGAACGGGAAAAAACATATTTTATTTATTTATTTTAATATTTTTATTGTAGGAGCTCTGGTAGCATAGTGGCTAAAGCACTTGACTGCTAATCAGAAGGCTGGCGGTTCAAACCCACCAGCCACTCCTCGGAAGGAAGGTTGGGCAATCCTACTTCCTGAGTGATACTGCCTCGGAAACCCAAGGAGGGGTCGCTATGAGTCGGGGCCGACTCGATGGCACATAACAACAACAACAACATTTTTATTGTGACTTGGGTGAGAGTTTACAGAGCAAATTCATTTTCCATACAGCAGTTCATACACATTTTGTTTCATGGCATTGACTCGAATTCCCCACAGTGTAACACCTCTCTTCCCACTTCTTCCCTGTAGTTACCTCTTTTCTGTGTCCTTCCTTCCTATGCATTCTTGCCCCCTGAGCTATCTCCCTGTGCAAACACTGCCCTTCTCTTCTCCCGTGATTGATCACTCTAAGGAGTATATCTACCTGATGTAAATGTTCACCCCATATGCCTCTCTACTGAAAACAGACATTTTAAAAACCGTCTATTGTGTGTCAGGGCCTGCATTAGGATTTTGTGTACATTATCACATTTAATCCTCATCACACACCTATGGTATGTGTTAATATTTTCATTTTAGACTTGCTAAGGTCCTCAGAAGTAAAGTTGGGCAGTCCTACTTCTGTAGTGATACTGCCTCGGAAACCCAAGGAGGGGTCGCTATGAGTCAGGGCTGGCTTGACGGCACATAACAACAACAACAACAACAAGGTCACATAAGGACCCTTGTAGCTCAATGTTTAGGCACTTGGCTGCTGACTGAAAGGTCAGAAGTTTGAACCCACCCAGTGGCTCTATGGGTAAAAAGTCCTGGTGTTTTGCTCCCATAAAGATTACAACCTAGGAAACCCTATGAGACAATTCTATTCTGTCACATAGGGTCATTACAAGTCAGAATCAATTTGATGGCACACAACGACAAAGCTCACATAGGGAGGGTTGGATATGTGCCCAAACCCGTGTCTATCTTATGCCAGAACCTGTGCTTTTCACATTATCTATTGTTGTTTTAGTATAAAACACTTTGTTTGCTCAACCATATGATTAGCGAATTGCTTTCAATACATTATCTCATGTGTTCAACACAACAATCCTATGAGATGGTTGAAATCAATATTATCTATATCCACATTTTATAAATGGAAGAATGTGATTCAAGCTCACAAAACAAGTTTCAGGTAGAGTTAGGACTTGAGCCATGTCCTTTGATTCTTAATCCACAGTGCTTCTCACTCTACCATGTGCCCTTTTGCTATTCTGGGCAGCTTAGGTGGGCCAGGTATACAGCCTCACTAAGCTGGAGTTAGATGTTACATTTACAGACCCTCTTTTGATGAAATCTGGGATGTGTGGTACTTTATAATGAATATTTAATTGATTTGGCAAAAGCCACATTTCTCATTTCCTTCCTTATCCCATATCAAGATCAAAAAGTATGAGCATTAGTTCATTCTTAAAATCCTGATTGGATGTCTCCTGTGTGCAGATGAAGCTTCTATTAGTTTTGCAGGCTGCCATAACAATAAGACTATGCTTGAGGATGGAGACCAAAAAGTAAATAGATGAGACATTGTCCTTGCCTTCAGAATGCTCACAATATAGCAGGAGATTCTGTTAGGGTGAAAAAGAAAAACCAAAACTAGCCCACTATGATATGATGTGCTAAGTATTGACACAGTGGTATTCCCAAATACTACCAACAAACCCTACCACTTGTCTGTCAGATTGTCATACTGTGGTGGCTTGCATGTTGCTGTGAGGCAGGAGGCTATGCCACCAGTATTTCAAATACCAGAAGGATCACCCAAAGTGGGCAGGTTTCAGTGTAGCTTCCAGACAAGATAGTCTGGGAAGAAGAATGGGGCCATCCATTTCTGAAAGAATTGGTCACTGAAAACTTTATGAATAGTAGTGACACATTGTCTGATATATTACTGGAATACTTGATGAATAGCTGTAAAACATTGTCCAATATAGTGCTGGAAGATGAGCGCCACATGTTAGAAGTCACTCAAAATACAACTAGGGAAGAGCTGCCTCCTCAAAATAGAGTTGACCTTAATGACGTGGATGGAGTAAAGCTTACAAGACCTTCATTTACAGGGCATGACTCAAAATGGGAAGAAATAGCTGGAAACATACATTAATAATGGAACATGGAATGTACAAAGTATGAATCTAGAAAAATTGGAAGTTGTAAAAAATGAAATGGAATGCATAAAGATCCATATCCTAGGCATTAGTGAGCTGAAATGGACTGGTATTGGCCATTTTGAATTAGACAATCATATTATCTACTATGCTGGGAATGACAAATTAAAGAGGAATGGCATTACATTCATTGTCAAAAAGAACATCTCAAGATCTATCTTTAAGTACCGTGCTGTCAGGGATAGGATAATATCCATATACCTACAAGGAAGACCAGTTAATATTACTATTATTCAAATTTGTGCACCAACTACTAAAGCCAAAGATGAAGACACTGAAGATTTTTACCAACTTCTGCAATCTGCAATTGAACAAATATGCCATCAAGATGTAATGCTAATTATTGGTGACTGGAATGTGAAAGTTGGAAACAAAGAAGAATCACCAGTAGTTGGAAAATATGGCCTTGTTGATATGATAGGAATGATGTCGGAGACCACACGATAGAATTTTGCAATTCCAATGACTTATTCATTGCAAATACCTTTCTTCAACAGCGTAAGTGGTGGCTATACATATGGACCTTGCCAGATGGAATACACAGAGATGAGATCAACTACATTTGTGGAAGAAGGCAATGGAGAAGCTCAATATCTTTACCCAAAAAAGGGCCTGGAGCTGACTGTGGAACAGACCATCAACTGCTCATATGCAAGGTCAAGTTGAAACTGAAGACAATGAAAACAAAGTCATGAGAGCCAAAATATGACCTTGATTATATTCCATCTGAACTTAGAGGCCATCTGAAGAATGGGAGCTCTGGTGGCATAGAATGGATTTGATACATTGAACACCAATGACTGAAAAACCAGACAACTTGTGGGATGACATCAAGAGCATCATAAAAGGTCATTAAAAAGACAGGAAAGGAAAAAAAGACCAACATGGATGTCAGAAGAGACTCTGAAACTTATTCATGAGGAGAGTAGCTAAAGCAAATGGAAGAAATAATGAAATGAAAGAGCTGAACAGAAGATTTCAAAGACAAAGTAAAGTATTATAATGAAATATGCAAAGAGCTGGAGTTAGAAAACCAAAAGGGAAGAACATGCTCGGCATTTCTCAAACTGAAAGAACTAAAGAAAAAATTCAAGCCTCAAATTACAATATTGAAGGATTCTATGAGCAAAATATTGAATGATGCTGGAAGCATCATAAGAAGATGGAAGGAATATACAGAATCACTATACCAAAAAGAATTGGTTAATATCTAACTATTTCAGAAGATACCATATGATCAAGAACTAATGGTATTAAAGGAAGAAGTCAAAGCTGCACTGAAGGAATTGGTAAAAAAACAAGCTTCAGGAATCGATGGAATACTGATTGAGGTGTTTCAACAAACAAATGCAGTGCTGGTGGCACTTACTTGTTTATGCCAAGAAATTTGCAAGACAGTACCTGGCCAACTGACAGGAAGAGATCCATATTTGTGGCCATTCCAAAGAAAGGTGATCCAACAGAATGTGGAAATTATCTAACAATGTCACTGATATCACACGTGTAAAATCTAGCTGAAGATAATTTAAAAACAGTTGTAGCAGTATATTGACCTGGAACTTCCAGAAATTCAAGCTGGATTCAGAAGGGGACATAGAATGAGGGATATCATTGCTGATGTCAGATGGATCTTAGCTGAAAGCAAAGAATACTAGAAAGATATTTACTTGTGTTTTATTGACTATGCAAAGACATTTGACTGTGTGGATCATAACAAATTATGGATAATATTCCAAAGAATGGGAATTTCAGAGCACTTAATTGCTCTCATGAGGAACCTGAACATAGTCTAAGAGGCAGTTGTTCAAATAGAACAAGGGAATACTACAAGGCTTAAAATCAGGAAGGCATATGTCAGGGTTGTATCCTTTCACTGTACTTGCTCAATCTGTATGCTGAGCAAATAATGTGAGAAGGTGGACTATACAAAGAAGAATACGGCATCAGGGTTGGAGGAAGAACCACTAACAACCAGCAATAAGCAGAGGACACAACCTTGTTTGCTGAAGGTGAAGATGACTTAAACCACTTACTGATGAAGATCAAAGTCTACAGTATGGATTACAGCTCAACATAAAGAAAATGAAAATCCTCATAACTGCACCAATAAGCAGCATCATGATAAATGGAGAAAAGATTGATGTCAGGGATTTAATTTTACTCGGATCCACAGTCAACACCCATGGAAGCAGCAGTCAAGAAATTGGACGTCATTTTGCATGGGGAAAATTTGCTGTGACCTCTTTAAATTGTTAAAGAGCAAAGATGTCACTTTGAAGACTAAGGTGTGCCTGATCCAAGCCATGGTATTTTCAATTGCCTCATATGCATGTGAAAGCTGGACAATGAATAAAGAAGACCGAAGAAGAGTTGGTTTCTTTGAATTGTGGTGTTGGTGAAGAATACTGAAAATACCATCTGGTAGTGTAGTGTCTAAGGCACTTGACTGCTAACCAGAAGGCTGGCAGTTCAAACCCACCAGCCACTCCTCAGAAGGAAGGTTGGGCAATCTACTTCTGTAGTGATACTGCCTCAGAAACCCAACGAGGGGTCTCTATGAGTCAGGTCTGACTCAATGGCACATAACAACAACAGCCAGAAGAATGAACAAATCTGTCCTGGATGAAGTGCAGCTGGAATTCTCCTTGGAAGTGAGAATGGCCAGACTTCATCTTACCTATTTTGGTCATGTGGTCAGAAGGGACCATTCCCTGGAGAAGTGTATCATGCTTGGTAAGGTGGAGGGTCAGTGAAGAAGGGGGAAACCCTCAACGAGATGGATTGACACAGTAGTTTCAACAATGGACTCATGTATAGCAAGGATTGTGAGAAGGCACAGGACAGGGTAGTGTTTTGTTCTATTGTACATAGGGTTGCTGTGACTTGGAGCTGACTTGATGGCACCTAACAACAACAACATGCCAACTGAAGGGACAATTGGATGGGGTCAACCAAAAATTTTTCTCAGAAGAGAGGATAATATGATCTATGTTTCAGGAATGGGTAGGATTTCACCTAAAAAAAATAAAAAAAGTAGCGGGGGGAGTTCTGGTGGTGTAGTGCCTAAGGCATTTGACTGCTAAGGAGAAGGCTGGAGGTTAACCTAGAAGAGAAAAGTGTTAAGTATGCTTTATTTTTTGTGGCTCCATAAGGAACTCTCCATTAAGTTTCAGCTATCTGAAGGAAATTTGACATAGTTTTTGCTTTCATTTGAACTCTGAAGGTTTGTCCATGTAGCTTGACTGAATTGGGCTGTGTGTGGGAAGATCAATAATTTGAGTTTGTATTATTTTGGGTTGTTAATGTGGGCAGCTAAAGAGTGCATAATCTGGTTGCCTTGCAGGTGATCTGATCAGATCTTTAAGGATGTAGAAGGACTGTGCCATATTTTAATCATTCTGATTGTCATTATTACTGGTTTGAATTGCCTGGGTAGTGATAGAGACAGTTGCTTGACTGTCCTTTTATGTATCTTTATTGAACAGGGAAAAAGAGGCCCCCAAGGTCTTCCTGGACTCCGAGGGGAGGAAGGATGCCCTGGTCTGAGGGGACCTAAGGTGAGTGTGACCTTGAGCTGTGGAATTCATTCCCTATCTCACTTTTAGTTTTGAGTTTGAAGAAAATCCTAATTCTTCAACATAGTTATGGAGTCTTAGCTCCTCCTTAACTTGTCTTTGTAAATATTTCCCAGAAATAGAGCCTGAGAAAAGGAGTAAGATCAAGTAATTTACTGGGAGGTTATCAAGAAAACATTAGTAGAGGAGTGGAGAAATAAGATAGGGAGGGAAAGTGGCCTAAAAAAGTTATAAACCAGATTACCACTGGTGGTAGATGGAACTTAATCTTGCAGGGAAACTCTGGGAGCCATTGCTGACCATGTACTTTAACGTGATCCCACTTGAAGGGCAAAGGACCTGGGGTGTTTATACATCAACTCTTATCAGGCATCAGTTGAGGGCTGCTTGTGGGAACATTAATTCCCCAGCACTTCTGGCCTCTTCTGCATGTGGCTACAGCAGGCTCTGGTTCCAGAGAAAACACTAAGAGAAGAGTAGTAAGTGCTGGTGGTTGGAAGTTGGACTTGAGAGCACTGAAATTTAAAAGACTAAAGCAATGTAGATATAGGTAGGACACATTTTATGAGTACTTGCGCTAAATATTCCTCAGTCTTCCAAGAAGGGAGAATCTTTTAAATAAGGCCATGGAAACTTTTTTATAACCTTAGTGTCCTAAAATAAGTTTTCCTGACCACAATGACCATATCCTGTATATGCTAGCAAGTTATATTTCCATTCATCTATCCTGTTGTTCCTAGAAGCTCTTTCATGTTTGTTAGCCAGTATATTCATATTTTTATTTGAAAAAATATGCTTGTTATAGCAATTGGTGGCAGATCACTAGTGTTCCCTGATGATCAGGGACTCCTCTTAGAAGAGGAGTTGCAAAAGTGGAATTTTTTTTGAAGTCACAATCAAAGGGAGTGATGGTAGTAATCAGTCCTGTGACATCCACTAGAGAAGACATCTTCATTTTGATCTAAAAATTGTATTCTCTGGAAATTAAAAATGTATGGTATCCTAAATGAAATAAAGTGTTAAAAATATCATGCTCCTTTCTTTTGATTTCATTTTCACTTTAGGGAGCAAAAGGATTTTCAGGAGAGAAGGTATGTGACTTCCTTTACTCTTCTTAAACTGGATAGCAGTTTCTTTGTGAAACACAGTAATTATTCCAATTGGTTTTCCTTTGCTTAAGTGAGTCACAATTTTTAGAAAAATGTAAGATGAAATCATTTTAGCCCAAACCACCATACTAATGACTAAGTAGGGAGCTCTGGTAGCGTAGTGCCTAAGGCACTTGATTGCTAACCAGAAGGCTGGTGGTTCAAACCCACCAGCCACTCCTCGAAAGGAAGGTTGGGCAACCTAATTCTGTAGTGATACTGCCTTGGAAACCCAAGGAGGGGTCACTATGAGTCGGGTCCAACTCGATGGCATGTAACAGCAACAACAACAAAGACTATGTATAAGATATGTATTTCAGGTTTAGGCAAGTGATATGTATTAGTATCCTCAAATCTTGGTTTTTATACTAACTGAGCCACCATATTTACCACATGATGATCTGAAGGAATTGGTACAGAATTCAGAGGATTGTAGGGAGGGTCTGGTCAAGTGAATGTCAAATGCAAAAGGGATTCTAGGATAGAGCTGTTGGGAATGGAGCTGGTATACAAAGGAATTACTTTGCATTTCGATTCAGAACTAGAGTGTATCCATTTATTCATTCAACAAATATTTATTAGGTTCCCACGTTATTCTAGGGAGTGATTATAAAGTGATGAACAAGACATAGAAAGACTCATGGAGCTTCCTTACTCATATTATTTGGTATCACTGATTCATCTTCCATGATGTGTGTCAAGTGTGTCTAGTTCAAGGGTCTGGTATGCTTATTTTCGTATACTAACTCAGCTGAACTTTAGTTGGAAAAAAAAGATTGAAAATTGACTTTCCTGTGTGAACAGTAGGAATAAATCAGCTATTCTATACATGCAAAATGAACTTTATTCTGCTTTCAAAACTCTGGATTTATTCTTCAAAAGACATTTTATAATGAATGGATTAATTATTATTTTGAGGTAGTTGGAGAAACGAAAGCTCATAACTTGAAAGTGATGGAATATTTGATGAGCTGTCACTGTGCAGCTGCCTAATTTTACTCTTATTTAGTTTGCCTCATTTTTTCCGTTATTTTCTTAAGGAGATGTTTTAAAAGTATTATTATTATGAGTCTCTCAAAATGCATGCACATGCACACACATTTTTAATTTCTCCTTTATCTGTGATCTTCCAAGTTCCCATTGCAAAGATTAATTCAGAGACTTTGGCAGTATTTTTAAATTAGAGAAAAAACCGGTGACAGAAGGACCGCATTTAGCATGCAGTTAGCCAGTGAGAAATGTTTCGTTCAGTCTTGTGAAAGATTGTTTGTTCTCAGTGCAAAAGTTTAAAAGGAAATCTTACTATCCAAAATTTGGGATGTTTTCTTATCTTTTTTTTTTTTTTTTTAGCATCTGAAACTGTCAGGAAAAGCAGTATGTAATTCTAATGACTAATTCAGAAAGAAAGTAACTCCAGTGCTGTTTCAGGAAGTCTGTATTTTTTGTCAACTGAAAAAAAATATTACCAACGAAAGTAACATCAAAGAAATAACCATGTGCACCCGTTCTTCTTATCTTTAACATTCTGATCTTCCTTTGCTCACAGGGTGTCCCTGGTGAGGACGGTATTGACGGCTTGAATGGAGAACAGGTAAAGAAAGCTTCTCATTCTTCTCCCTTCCCCCACTGGTAAATACTCTCTATTTATACTTTTCATGATTAGTCCAGAAAGTTTAATGAGAATATGCAACAATGTCTAAAGTTAATTTATGTCTTTGCCCTTATTGTAAAAACACAAGGATTCTAGAAACTCAGTCCTAACACTTTCCATCCCATAGTATATATTATTGTCTAGTATTTTGTTTCCATCCTTTAAAAAAATTGTTAAATTCTATCAATTAGACATTGATATTGTTTTGTATAGCCAATACTTGTCTGGATCTACCCTCACATTTTCTAGTATCTCTGATGCCTTCCTTTGGGATCATGGTTCTTTTTTTTTTTTTTTTAATTGTGATTTGAGTGAAGGTTTACAGAGCAAATTTACTTTCCATACAGTGGTTCACATATACTTTGTCTCATGACATTGACCACAGTTTACCACAATGCAACAGCTCCCCTCCCACTTCCTCCCCATAGTTACCTCTTTCCAGTGTCCATCCCTCCGTGCATGCCTGCCCCCTGAGTTGTCTCCCTGTGCATAAGCAGCCCTTCTTTCTCCCAAGATTGTTCTCTTCAAGGAGTGTACCTACTTGAGGTAAATGTTCAACTCATATGCCTGTTTTTTGTTTGGCTGGAAACCACAGGTGTGGGTTCAATTTCAGATCTGAAGAGCAGCTAGGGGTCATAGTCTCAGTGGTTCCACCAGGCTCTATCGGACCAGCAAAACTGGTCCCCTCCCCCCCCTTTTTTTTTCCTCCAAATGATTTTGGGTTTTGTTCCACATTGTTCTACCTCTCTATCAAGGATCTCCTACATAGATCCCCTTTCAAGTGGATGATAGTGGTAGCCGGGCACCATCTAGTTCTTCTGGTCTCATAGTCATATAGGCTGCAGACTGAATGGTGTACCAGTCACTAGGACTAATTGTTTCCATGAAGTTTGGTTTTCTTCATTCTTCTTTGCTCTGGACGAGGAGAGACCCATTGTTGCATCTAGATGGCAGTGGGATCATGATTCTTGTCTCTAAGGTACAGCTTTCAGAATTTCCTTTAGGAAATGCCAGCTCATCATACCCTCCTTTGATTTTTGATTTTCTGAAAAATTTTACACTGTTTCTTGAAAGATAACTCATTGGGAGAACAATTCAGTGTTAATAGTTATTTTCTCTCAGCACATTGAAAATGTAATTTCATGGTCTTCTGAATTCTATTGTTTTCTAGCTTTCAGTATTACGGCTAATAAGTCATCTGTCAAAATAATTGTTTTTCCTTTGTAAGAAATCTAAAAAAAGTTCAGGCAACTTAAAATTTTCCCTTTGTTTTCACTTTCCTGTAGTTTCAAGATGATGTATCCAGATTTGTGTTTTTTTTTTTTTTTAAATTTAATGTACTTGGAACTTGTTGGAGCTTTGAATTTGAGTATTTGTGTCATCCATACGTTTTTGGAAATCCTTAAAGATGATAATTTTTAATTTTTTTTAGTCTTCCCACTTTCTCTATTAACTATGGACCACTGAGTAGAAATTTATTATGCTTTTTTATTCTACTCTCTATGTCTCTTTATAAAAAATTTTATTTTATTGTTGTTGTTGAGAATATACATAGCAACAACATTCACCAATTCGGCATTTCTGTGCGTACAGCTCAGTGACATCAATTACTCTCTTTGAGTCGTGCAACCATTCTCACCCTCCTTTTCTGAGTTGTACCTCTCCCACTAACATACATTCACTGCCCTGTAAGGTGTCTATCTAATCTTTAGAGTTGCTGTTGTCACTTTGAGCCCACATAGATACTTCTTAAAAGAGCGTAATGCTCAAGGAAGACTCTCTCTTTTTTTTAACAGTTCAGCTTAACTACTGTTTGGTTTTAAGAAGATTTCAGGGGATGTTTTTGGTTTAAAGTTTAAAGATAATCTTAAGGTAGTAGTTTCAGGGTTTCAACCATCCCCCTTGGCTCCAGAAAGTGTGAAGTCCACGAGAATTTGAAATTCTGTTCTGCATTTCCCCCCTTTGATCAGAATACTTTCATGGAATCTTTGATCAAAATGTTCAGTTATCAAGTTCTTCTGGTTTCATGGCAAAGGAGACATTTGTGGAGGCAATTAGCTATGTATTCCACATCCTTCTCCTATTCCTGATTATTCCTCTTCCTCTATGGCTCCAGGCAAATAGAGAACAGCTGTCATGCCTAGGATGGCTGCTTGCATTAAGATCTTAGGCACTATGCAATGAACTAGGAGGTGGGATAGAAGCACTAGACATATTATTAAGCAATTAACTGTATGTCTCATCAAACCATTACCCTAAATCTCCAAAGGAACCATATCCTAACTAAGTGTTTGTTTGTATATAAGCAGCCTCAGCAGCTACTCTTTGTTTCATTTTTTTTTTGTCATCATTGTTAATCATACTACCTGTTTATTTGCCTTTCTTTTCTGCATTCTGAATACACCTACTCTTCAGTGATCAACAATCCTATTATCTGACACTTCACAGTTAGACAATAGTAAAAAATCTACTATCCAGCTATTTACACATTAACAACATACATTTGTCAGTGACAAACATCGAGGTGTGAAATGAGAGTGAAGTTGCCTGTGATGGTTATGTTTATGTGCCAATTTGGCTGGACCATGATTCTCAGTGGTTTGGTAGCTATGTGATGATGTGATTTGGCAGTTACGTGATGATGTAGTCATCTTCCATTTTGTAATCTGATGTAGTCTTCTTCCATTTTTGCATGATGCTGACTTTTGCACAATGGTATGGTGTTTAGAACATAGCCATGTCAATAAGTAATTAGTGGGTGTAATTCCTTCAATTTTAGTTCACTAATTCAGTTGAATTTTTAATTTCAACTATTATATTTTTCAATCCAATAAGTTCTACTTGATTTTTCATTTTTCAAATCTGCTGGGTCTTTTTTCTAGTTGCTTGTTTTTTACTCATAATTTATTTAAATATATCAAATGCATTTATTTTATACTCTGTCTATGATAATTCCAATATCTGTAATCATTGCCATTCTGATTGTATTATCTGTTGTTTCTGTTGCTCTTCCTCATGGGTCTTCCTTATGTGTATGGTGACTTTTGATTTAAACTTAATTTTTATTGAATTTATTTGTGAGAAATCATTGAGGCCTGAGTTGGGGTTATTTGCTTCTTCATGTGTCTGGTGGTACTGCTTCCCAGGACCACTTTAAAAAAATTATCATGTTGAAGTTTTCCATACTACAGATACACAATAATCAGAAGTCCTTAGGACAGCCAATAGCCACTGCTCTTGGGATTCTTACTTTCTCTTTATTCTGGACTTTAAGGATTTTTCTTTTCCTTGTTATCTTATTAGTATATGTAAAATATGTTTTTATTTGTTATCTCAATTTCAAATTATTTTTTTTCAGTGGGAGGACTGTTCTATTCTGTTATATGGTCAGTAATAGAGTAGCTAAGAAACTTTCTACTCTTAGTTACAATGTGAAACTACTCAAAAAAGGTTTCTGGCATGACTAATATAGCAAAGAATCTATGTGTATTTATTTTCCCTTTCTCCTCTTACAGGGTGAACGTGGAGTCCCAGGGTCATCTGGAGAAAAAGGAAGCAGAGGAAATCGGGTAAAATATAGTACTCTTCTTCTCTCATTTCTACTGTATAAAGTGACATTGACCATTTATTTTGAAAGTGTGGGAAAGAATCATCTAGTGAGTTAGTGCTCGACTGAAAGTTATAAGGACAATAAATATTAGATGATTATTTGGAAACTTTACTTAAGGTCTGATGCTGCTGATAGTGAGATGAGTAATACAAATCAAGTCACTTAACCTTTTGCGTGGTATAACAGTAATCATGTCACTCCCCATTTACGAACTTTCCTCGACTCTCTGTTGTCAGTGATTTAGTATCACATCCAAAGCCCTTTCAACCACATCCTTCAATAATCTCAGTCAAGAAGTATCTTCCCCAGTTGCACACCCATCTCTGTGTTTTTGCTCATGACAGGTACTCCATCCTGGAATGCCGTTACCCTACCTCCATCCTTGGGGATTATTTGAATATCCCCTTTTCTTCAGTGTCCAGGTCCTTTTTTTCTACTTATGTCAGTCTGCAGCGCTTTCTTCCTTCTTTATATCTTCATAACTTACATTACTTGTGCTCTTTGCTTGACAGCAATTGCACATTGCCTCATGCTAGTAATTATGTTTCTATATAAAGGAAGGCATATACCTGGCATATATACTGCAACTTCTCCTTCCTATGTCCATGCCACTGCCTTTATTCTACTAACTGATTACAATCTTCTTTCCTATTAGATCCAAGAATGACTGAAGAATCTTTCTCAATAAAATACTACAATGAGCTTCTGCTGATTTATTGGATTAGATATGTTGTCAATGTTAAGTGCCATCAAGTTGTTTCTGACTCATAGTGATACTGTGTACAATAGAACAAAATACTTCCTGGTCCTGAACGATCCTCACAATTATTGCTATGTTTTGAGCCCATCATTGCAGCTACTGTGTCAATCCATCTAGTTGAGAGTCTTCCTTTTTTTCTCCTAGAAGGTGAATTTTTTTTTTTTTTTTTACTTATACTTCTTCATACCTCTTGTGGAATAAGAGTTGCATTTCACTCCAAGGATGCATGATTAGTGGTGTTAACTGATTTCCTGATAAGAGAAACAGAAAGAGTGAGAAGACATGACTCATTATTGAGGTTATTTCTAACCTGCAGTTTGTGGGTCAGATTTTGGAGAATGGAGGACACCACACTTCCTCAAGATGGGAAACCTTCAATTTTAGTTGAATTTAGTTAAGTACAATAAACATCTGTTGAGTGCATCTTACCTGTAGGGCACAAAAAAAGAGTTCAAAGATAAGTAAGACATGGCTATAGTTCAAAGCCACCACCCACTCTGTGAGAGAAAGAAGAGACAATTGACTTCTGTAAAGATATACAGCCTTGGAAACCCAGTGGGGGTTATTATGAGTCAGCATCAACTCAGTGGCAGTAGGTTATGACCAAAAAAGAGCTTATCTGATGCAGGAGAGGATTTGTACAGGGAAAACTATAATACTAGATGGTATAGGATACAAACCTGTAAGTATGGCACAAATAAAGAGTCAGTGGAGAGACGGTGACTTGGAAACTACAATGAATAGACTGGTTCTTCTTCACCTGGTCAGTCATCAAACATTACTTTAGCATCTATTATAAACTAGGCAATATTCTAGAATGGGGAACAAAATGGTCATGGACTGTGTATCCCAGAACTGGCCTCTATAGGGAGAACCAGACTTAATGAAATGATTATGTAAATAGATGTAAGATTCCCACTGAGATAGATGTATGCAGCAGAGGTAAATGACAGGGAGATCTGATCACCTGTGCAGTCAGGAAGACTCCATGCAGGAAGTGAAGATGGGGTTGAAATATAAAGGATGAATAAGTTAACCAAGTGATGAGAGAGACAGGAAGAAGCAAGGGAACAACCATCTATACTATGCCCTCATGGCATTTGAACAGGGTCCTGAAGGATGGAGAGGATTCAAGTATTTCTGAGAACACGGGAAATCAATACATTTTTACTCAGAGGAATGAGGATATAGACTTAGGGCATTCCAGTCTAAAGAGAAAGCACAAGGAAAGGCTTAAAATTAGAAGAATTTAAGGTAGGTTTCAAGAGAGAAGGATTCCAATTCAGCAGGAGTAGAAGGAAGAAATACAAAATATAAAGAGTAAGAGGGAAGTCTGGATAGGCAAGTGGGAATCAATTGAAGGCCATCTTTAGGAATTTGTTTTTGTTTTTCTACTGAGTAATTAGGGGCTATTGAAGATTTTTAGGTGAGAGAGACTCATATTCAAAGATACAGGTTTGGATGATTACTCTGGAAGCCAAGTTTCTGGGTTAGAAATAGAAGGGGCAATCATTATAGGTACCACATGCCAGATTCTGTGTTAAAGGCTTTTAATTTGCTATTGCATTTTATCCTCACAGCAGTCCTATGAGACAGGTATAGCTGTCTCACAAATGAGAAAATTGAGTCTTGGCAAAACTAAAGGAATTTGTAAATTAAGAAGGTGCCTGGGTGATGCAAAACATTTGTGCTTGACTACTAACAAAAAGGTTGACAGTTCAAACCTACCCAGCGGTACTGCAGAAGAAAGGCCTAGAGATCTGCTTGCATAAAGATGACAGCCAAGAAAACCCTATGGAGCAGTTTTACTCTGTAACACGTGGGGTCGCCATGAGTCAAAATTGACTTGATGGCAACAAGTAAATTAAGCAGCAGAATCTGAATTTAGAATTACCTAGCTTCTTTTTTCAGCCGCAGGGATCCAAGTGAGAAGAGGGAACTCAGGCACGCCCAAAGCAGCAGGGCAGGAGAGTAGGAGAAAGGGGATAAAAAAGCCAGGAACTCGGACAGAGGAGCAGTCAGCCGCAGGGATCCAAGTGGGGAGAGGAACTCAGGCACGCCCAAAGCAGCAGTGTGGGAGAGCAGGAAAAAGGGGATTAAAAGCCAGGAACTTAGACAGAGGAGCAGTCAGTTGCAGGGATCCAGGTGAAGAGAGGAACTCACGCACGCCCAAAGCAGCAGGGTGGGAGAGTGGGATAAAGGGGATTAAAAGGCCTAGGAATCTGGACAGAGGAGGAGTCAGCCGCAGGGACCCAGGTAAGGGTGATACGAGAGGTTTCCAACAGAGAGGCAAACTTGTCTGTCGGTTTGTCCTACCATGGTGACATGTTGATGTGAGTTTTGAGGCTGAGCCACTGGTGTTTCTAACCCAGTGGGATGCATATGGTGCACAGGTATCATCCCAGCTTACAGATTAAGATAGACTAGGAAGAAGGAAGAGGCTGTCCACTTCTCAAATAATTGGTCAGGGAAAACCTTATGAATAGCAAAGAAACACTGTTTGATACATTACCGTGCAATTTTATGAATAGCCCGGTTAGGTTAGAAGGTTCTGGAAATAGGACTGGGAAAGAGCTGCATCATCTGAGTAAATCCAGCCTTACTCCTATGGATAAGGTAAAGCTTCTGAGACCTCCATTTGCTGATGTGGCACCACTCAAATTGAAGAGAAAGAGCTGAAGACATCCATTAATCATTGGAACATGGAATGTACAAAGTATAAATCTAGGAAAATTGGAAGTTGTCAAAATGAAATGGAATGCATAAAGATTGATATCCTCAGCATTAGTGAGCTGAAATGGACTGGTTTTGGCCATTTTGAATGAGACAACCATATGATCTACTATGCCGGGAACGACAGTTTGAAAAGGAATGGTGTGGCATTCATCATCACAAAGGATGTTTCAAGATGTGTCCTGAAGTACAATGCTGTCAG